GCAATCTCAAAACCAATATCTGTCGCATCAAGAAGTCTCAGATGCATTTTCAGATGCATTGTTTAAATGCCTCAAACAGCCAGTGATCAACCTGACAATACCAGGCATTCAGAAAAACGAGATTTGTCAATAACAGCCCTCAAGCAGCTCGCCTTACTTCTGCTGTACCAAGACTGCCCCAACGTCTACACCGACGTCTCCGTCCTGCCAAACAGCTAAACAGCGGTGGTCGTTATTCCAACTCACGCCACAACCATCGAATTCAGGACAGTTCATGCATGAAACAACATCAACAGCAGCAGAGCTTGCAGCGCTTTACACTGCGCGGCGTTTTATTAACGACCAAAGCACGCAACGGGGGACGATCTTCTGCGACAGCAAGGCCGCACTGCAGTCACTTCCATCAAATCAACGCCATGGTCTGCACGAGCAGTTGGTATTTCAGAAGGCAGAAATGCTACACTATATACCAGAGAAGGGGTGCCATGCTATATTTCAGTGGTTGCCAAGCCAACGTGGAATTATCGGTACTGAACGGGCTGATCAAGCTGCCCATACAGCCCATACAGAAGACAACAACCAGTCATTACCTCTCTCTAGGATGGACGCTGCTAGGAGGCTCCACATGCTTGCTCGCTCATGCTGCATGTCACTTTGGAATCAGCCTCTTTTTACGCATGCAAGATTACGATCCCTTTATTCTAAGTTAAGCTTACGGCTTCTAACAAAGCTTGATTGATTGATATGTGGGGTTTAACCTCTCAAAATTACCATATGCATATGAGAGACGCCGTAGTGGAGGGTTCTGGAAATTTCGACCACCTTGGGTTCTTTAGCGCGCGCCCAAATCCGAGCACATGGGCCTACAGCATCGCCGCCTCCATCGGAAATGCAGCCGCCGCAGCCGGGAGTCAATCCTGCGACTTGCGGGTCAGCAGCCGAGTACTGACGAGACTTCCAACAAAATTTCGACGAGAGAGAGTGAATATACAGTGACTCCAAGGCGGCTATCGAAGCCTAAAAAACCGGAACGGTAGCCCCTCAGGCCCAGCAACTTCTCCAAGGCGTCAAAAATATCACGTTCCATTCTCTCACTTGGTTTCCCGCTCACCTGGGGTCGATTGAGGGCTCTACCTCTAACCCTAACGAGGGCGCAGACGAGGCCGCGCGAGGACTCACTGTCTGCGCCACCCCTGCAGTCCCTCTGCCTTGCTGGAAACCCTTACTTACATTCAACAAAATAGCAAGGCACTTCTATCTGTCAAGAAGGGTATTCTCCCTCCCACACCCTGCCTTGTGCAGGGAGCAGGCAGCTACCCTCAGACCATTGCAAGCCAGTGCGTATCCAAACCTAACAAGTGCGTATCCTAACCTTGCGGTTCTTCATGCCATGCATGTACCCTGAACGGTATACAAGTGTGAATTGCCCCGCTTGTGGACTGTTAGCGTTGTGAGATGTGAAGCCACCAGTTCCGCCCTCAGTGAGGACAGGTGGGCTGCGCTCTTACGCAGCCCCGAACTTAATGATCAGACCCTGGCCGTCCAGAGTGGCCGTGAAAGGGCCGCCAAGCTCGGCTTGACGGTCCCTACATGGGATTAGCCGGGTGGCGCGGGGTCTCCCTTGCGCCTTTTCAGGACGAAAATAAAGTTTTAATCAATCAATCGGGTGACGCAACTGCTCTGTGTATATTATAGTTAAGAGTCGCGTTTACCTGTGCATACGCGTTCCGCATAGGGATGGCCGACACCGCCTGTGCACACTGCGGAGATGAAGAGGCAATTACACGTCCTGTGGTACTGCCGGAATATAACCTAGACAGACAATACATTTCCAATACAATAAAGAAGTTAGATAACCAGCCGCTGTCAGAAGAAAGTATACTGCGTCATCGTCATGACTCATCATCATAGAAGAAGGCCGTGCAAGCGCTACTAGGCTTCTTGCGAACTACTGACCTGTCGGAACGCCTCTGAGTTGACTGATTTTTTGTGTGCGTGTGTGTCCGTGTTTTGCTCTGAATGATTTCTTACCTCTCTCTCTCTCTCTTTGAACCCCCTATTTCCCAACCCCAGTGTAGGATTGCCTACCGGATACTAGCATCTGATTAACCACCCTGCCTTCCTTTTTTTTCTCGTTTTACTTCTCTTCTTGTAAATAGTAAAAGATATGAAAACTACCAACAAAGTGCAAAGGCCTGCAACACAGCACCCATCTGCAATCACAATCTAACTTAGAGCCATATTTTGTGCTCACTATCGTGTTCAAATAGAGCTTTTTAATGGTCTACCCGGTTCGGTTCCTGAAAACAGTGTGTCTGACTTTTTGGAGGCACTTGTTTGATAGCATTATTCTATTTCTCTCATTTTTTACCCGGCTGAACTCGCGAGGTAGCAATATTTAATTCTGTTGGTGCACTTATTGTTATAATATTGGTTGAATGGCTCCGTTTTCTCTTTATGTACACCAAGACTGCAGTAGTGCTGCATTGTGCTACAGTTTTCGGAAAAAAATATAAAGATAACGTCAGAAAGCGTCCGACGCAGTGCTCGGTTGCTATCTTGTGACCAATCTGTGTTGCCCCATGAAAAGTCGGGTGTAGTTTGTTGCGTTATAGAACATTTTGGCTGTAGACAACGTCCAAAAGCCTTTCATACAGTGCCCAGTTGCAGTCTTATCACAGATATCTGTGACTTCATGAAGAGTTGCGCATGGTTTCTCACTTTAGAGAATATTTTGACTACAAATAGTGTCCAAAAGTCTTTAATGCTGGATTCAGTTGCACTCTCATCACCAATATCTGTCACATCATGAATTGTCAGGCACAGTTAGTTATGTTAGAGCATATTTCGACTACTGAAAATGCCCCAAACATGATATACAGTGCTTCTTTCCTATCTTATCAACAATATCTGTTGCATAATTAAGAGCCAGGTGTGCTTCGTAGCATTAAAGAATATTTATAACACACACATTATCCGAATACCCTCCACGCAGTTGCAGTCTTATGGCCTAAATGTGTCACATTTAAGCTTAAGGCGTCACTTAATATGTTAACAAGTGAAGTAAAATATGAAGTGTGAACATGTACTCGATGTACCTGCATATTCTCGATAATATCAATGAATTTAGTAGTGTAGGTTTAGGAACCTGGTGATTTAAAGATATTGATGCTACTAATTTTTTTTTCGAGATCTTCTAGAAAGTTGGTTTTGCTGTTAAAAGCTTTTCTAACAGCAAGGACCAAGGCTACTGCTCAGAAATTCACTTTCTGGGCCATTACTAGCAATATTTACGCGTTGTGCGGACACGATCACATGACTCACTTTATTGCAGGAAAATTTCTACACACTACCACAACATGAATGCTTTATAGAAGGTTATGATATTGTTATTGTTTGTTTTAAAGACCCGAATTTCCTTTATTAAAACAACACAGTCTGCAATAAAACAATGAGCAGGTACGTCTTGTGCGCTGCCTGGAAGTGTATAAAGTGTGAGAAAAGACTATTTGATTGACGCGAACTATAATTGTGCTGCAAAGGGCATGTTCATTTATGAGAAAACAAGGAATTCTATAGTTCGATTTGTAGTGCTACATTTTACCCGTGTTTTGTTGCTAGAAGGGCCCTAAATTAGTTTCCAGTAATGCTTGTTTCTTGTTTTTAGGCTATGAAAAAAAAAGAATGATATGTATACTTCTTATAGGATTTGAACCTCTCAACTCTCATCCGCTTTTCGACCTTTAGGAAAGCTTAGGTTTCAGAAACTGAGTTGTGCTAATGTAACAAGTACTAGTTGCTATGCGCCGGAATTTTCGAGCACCTCGTTTAGACTGCGTGAAAACTTGGTTCCTTTTTTCTTATTCGTGACTAAAGTAGGCGCCAAGAGACAACGTCAAGCCCACCAGCGGTGCCTGATACACCACTCGCGTTCACTTTTTGAGCAGCAATGAAACTTGAACCTATCTCATGAACAGGAGAACGAAATTCCTTTTCGGCACTACTAGCAAGGCCGCCAACAGACGTCAAGAAGATGATTGCGCGAGCTTTGGCGATTCCGCAAACATCGTTGGCCACCAGGAGAATAGGGAGGGGAGGGGGGGCAATCTCAACTCCATAGACTAATGTAGTAAGAGGGAGGGGACGTCCGCATAATGGAGAAAGGGGCTTTGCAATAAACATTCACCTCCTGTAGGAGAACCCTGCGCATGCCTATGTTAGGCATACACTGTCCTAGATGCGAACTTTCGTTCACAGGAGCGGTGCACGCACCGATGCTAATTTCTGGTGGATACCGCTGTAGTTACTTTGGTCACTGCGATGTCTATTGTCTCTAAAATATTCAAAACTGTGGGGTGAAGCACAATCAATATTTTACCTTGCCCTGATATCTTCGAAAACGTAGCAACTTGCTCCAGTTGAGAACGCGTCATTCTTTGGTGAAGTTAGACAGCTTTAAGCCAACAGATCAAGAGACCCTGGGCATCGTCAGCCTGGGACGCGTGCGAGTGGTTGCGCGCCCTCCTCCTCTACCGGTGTGATTACTCGCTTTCAGAGGTTAGCACTTTGCGTCAACGTTCGCACCGGAAGAGGATGACAACATCAAAGAGGTGTAAACGACGCTGTGTTAGTTCCACCACCTTTGCAAATAATCCCCACCGCGGTGGTCTAGTGACTAAGGTCTGCTGACCCGCAGGTCACAGGGTCGAAACCCGGCTGCGACGGCTGCATTTTCGATGGAGGCGAAAATGCTCTAGGCCTGTGAGCTCAGACTTGGGTGCACGCAAAAGAACCGCAGGTGCGTAAAATTTGCGGAGCCCTCCACTACGGTGTCTACCATAATCATATAGAGGTTTTGGGATGCTAAATTTCACATATCAATCAATCAAAGTTTGCAAATAAAGGAAATATGGTTTCTCGCATTGCCTCATTAGTTGTAACACAGCCGTTTTGCACCAGTGACTCAGCCTCAACTTGTTTGTTTTTTTACATTATTTCAGGATACTGAACCTGGCCAAGGTGCGCTATGAGCTGGTGGAGCTGGACATAAACTGCGCCGACTCATTGGGACGCACGGCGGTGCACATGGCTATAGAGAACGAGAATTTGCCTCTGCTCGAGACGCTTCTGGGAGCGAGCGTGGAGGTTCAGGACAGCCTGCTTCATGCCATCAACGCCGAGTACGTCGAAGCAGTCGAGTTGCTGCTCGACTACGAGGAAACCACGCACGTGCAGGGAGAGCGATACGTGAGTCCTCCCGGTTGTGTTTGTTCTTTCAGTTGACTCAAACATCGGAAGACGCGTGCGTTACGTATCTATCTTTGTTGAGATTCAACCAATTCTAGGTACTTCACGCTGACCTAACCAATCATCAGTAAAAATTAGTAGGCATTGTTCGGCGCACATGTGCTTCCACAGGAAGGTTCGTCTTCAGAAAATCATACCGTTCTGCACGCCATGCTAAACATTTGTTTTCAAGTTTCACCAGGCCACGTGTTACTCTTCAATGAACAAAAGAAGATAAAAGTTATGGACTAATTTTTAATGCGAAGCACTTTAACCCATTAGGGCAGTGCCCTTTACAAATACCCCTGCTTATTCGGGAAAAAAACGCACAGCAAAATATTCTGACTTTTGTCGTCGGAAGTGTAGCCGGGTGAGTGCCGCAGCATCGGCAGTGGGAGATTGTGTACACGGCCGGGAATATGAGGTGAAAGCGGGCAGGTGAAGGATACGTGTTTGTATGAGGTAGACACAAAGTGGTGGCCTGTGCCCGGTTGAGCTTGGGGTGAGGGGGGGGGAAGGCTCGGCGTCTGAGGTAAAAGTTCTTAACCAAATCATTGTAGGTAGTCAGGTTGTCCCTGGTGTCCATCTCGTCTCCAGCAGCGCCAGCGTGGTTGACAAGGCCTCGCGCAAGGGAGTGGGTAAAGTCGTTGAGGTAGAGGAGGCGTGGGGGGATTGGGCCCGCGAACCATGTCAAAGTGATCATGTTTGGAGTGTGGTGCCTGGCAGAGGATGCGAAGCACTTGAGGAGAAATGCGGCCTTTGCTTTAGTTAGTGACGGCGGAGCGAGAGTCGCATACGGTGGTGTCACAGGTGCGATATAGAGTGGCCAGGGCGATAGCCACCTCTTAAGCCGTCTCGGCAGAGGAAGTAGTGACGCTGGTTGCGTGGTGTAGGACTCCATTGCATGTAGCGACAGCTACAAAACGTGGGAGTGCCCGGCACAGTACAGACGCACTAACACCACGACCCTTCCGTCGAAGCTCCATGAGGCTCTGCGGAGCCCCGCTCTTTACGACCAAACCTGGGCGACCCAGCACGCCCGTGAGGCGGCATCGAGGGAGGCGTAGGCACGGCCACCTAAACCTGCTGGTTTCTTATAATAAAGTTTATACCTCTTCCTTGTCGTTAGAATATCGGATGACATGGGTTGCAGCACGATAATGAAAACCTTGTATATTCACTCTGTCCTATTTTCTCTGTTCTATACATAGTTAAAATTTAGGAAAACGAGAGCCTGTCATACGCGCGTGGTCAGTACTGCTTTTCGTATATTTGTTCGAGGTTTCACACCTTATACGTTCAAAAAGCGGATAGCAAGAACAAATAGTTCATGCACAGCGAGAGTAGCGCACAGGGTGCATAGGTATGCTCCGAGGTGTGATCAAATCTCGGTGTGTTTTTTATATTACTACAGTCCTGCGTGAGAGCACACACGTACCAAATGTTGTGCGGTGCCTAGATTGAACCTGCTTTTTTCGTTTAGAGAATGTCATTTTTAGGCTATCCGAGACCTACGAGGCTGCGACAAAGGCCGCTGTCGATGTGTGAGAGCCCGATGAGATTTTTATTGTCGCTTCTGACCCTAACACAGGCACTTAGGAGGAGAAGGGGTCAAGAATAAAAAAAAATATCGTACGAAAGAGACGTGGGAGTACTATTTCCGTTTTGTTCAGGAAACAGTCTTGTTTCGCAAAAGGACAAACACCTAGCCATAGTTGCTCAGCTGTAAAAAAATGACAAAATTCTTTATATGTTTTGTAACGAGGTGGTCATCCGCTAAAACTAAAAAAAATGTGGCTGATCTCTCGTTCTAGGGATCCGTAAAACACGAAAGTGTAGCGTGCCTGCACAGAAGTTTTCGAACGTTCCTTGTTCAATGTTTCGCCACAACACCGAAGGAATTGACGCTACAGCAATAAATTACAAAGTCATCGAAAGCATGGCAAGAAGCAGTGCTTTCCTGCTGCTTGCCGTCTCCTATAAAGCATGCACTAAATTAGCCTAGACAGGACGAGCGCGGACTAACAATTGTTACAGCTCGACACTTCAAGCGCGCTGGTGAAAAAAAAAATGAGGCGTATGTGAACTATCATACAAGTACACACAGCACAAGCGCGTACAACTGTCACAATTCTCACTTCTTCATGTGTATGCAGCTTACTCCTTTGGTAAATCTGACTGCGGCAGTAAGCGAAGTGGCCTTCGTGCTCTCTCGAACCACCATTCTGATAAGCGTGGGCAGGAAGGACCACTCTAGGAAACACAGACATGCTAAGCAGCGAGGTGAACCAACAGATGATGTAGAAATATCACGGGAAATCCTTCTAAGCTGTAGAAAGGATGCATCTCGTCTGATCAATGAAAAAATTAGAAGAAAGGAAGCTCAGTGGCTGGCAGAAATACATAAAAATTATAGAAAGGCAGCTGTGAAATTTTGGGACCATCTAAACTCGCTAAGAAATGAGACGAGCCTAGAGCAGAGGTTTATGACTACAGCTCAAGGTGCTAGGCTAGAAGGGGACGAAGCTATTGAGTATATAAGAGCAAGGACAGAAAATTTGAACAAAGAAGTGCTTTATGCACCACAATGGACCAGGATGAATTAAGTGGCGCAATGCCTCCATTTTCACAACGAGAGTGGAAAAGGGCTGAGAAGAGGGTTGCTAATAGTACATCAACAGGCCCAGATGGCATTACAATTATGCTGATAAAGACATTAGGTCCAACGTTTAACCAGGCTTTGAGAGAGGCAGTAGGCAAAATAATAATCTATAGTAAATTCCCCGAAGGATGGAAACTTAGTAGGATGGGTATGATCTATAAAGAAAAGGGGGACAACGCTGACATAAACAACTACCGTCCTATAACAGTGACATCAGTGGTCTACAAGCTGGTGATGCAGAATAAAAAAAAAAGACTGCAGGCATGAATAGAAGATGAGGGGGTGCTGGGAAAACTGCAGAATGGGTTTCGCAAACACAGTAGGTTGGAATACAATTTGTTCTCACTGACGCAATGCATCGAAATAGCAGAAAAGAAATGCAAGACCATGTTGCTAGCATTTTTGGATATCAAGGGAGCGTACGATAGCGTGGTTCAAGAGGACTTGTGGGGAATACTGGACACACTAGGTGTGAAAGATGAAGTCAATATTCTTTTAAATGATATCTACAAAGGTAAAACGGGCGCTTAGGCAGGGGTGTCCTCTGTCACCCTTGTTATTCATGATGTACCTTTAAGAATTAGAGGCCAAATTAGAGGGAAGTGACTGGGCTTCAACCTATTTTTCGTCAAAAAAGGAAGACTCATTGAACATGCACTACCTGCATTGTGTTACGCAGATGATATAGTACTTATGGCCGGCAGCAAGGAAGGTTTGCAGAGATTGATGGACATCTGCAGTAATGAGGGAGATAGGTTAGATTTCAGATTCAGTAAAGAAAAATCAGCAGTCATAATTTTTAATGATAATAAAGGTAGTGAGCTTAAAATACAGGAAGTCACGATAGAGATATCAGATAAGTACAAATATCTGGGCGAATGGATAAGAAATAGGGCCGAGTACCTACGGGAACACGTAATATACGTGACGACTAAAGGTAACAGGATTGCAGTGGTGATGAAAAACAGGGCACCATGGAAATACATTAGGTATGATGTTGTGAGAGGAATATTGAAAGGGGTCATGGTTTCTGGTCTGACGTTCGGCAATGCGGTCTTGACCATGAGATCAGAAGTTGAAACAATATTAGAAATTAAGCAACGTGGAATAGGTAGGATTGCCTTAGGAGCTCGCAAGAATACACCAAATAAAGGAGTACAAGGTGATATGGGATGGACATCATTTGAGGGCCGGGAAGCGCGCAGCAAGATAAAACTTGAGAAGCGATTGAGAGAATTGGGGGAGGAGCGTTGGGCTAGGAAGGTATTCAGCTACTTGTACATGAAAAATGTAGATACAAAATGGCGGAAGCGAACCAGAAAATTGACTGGTAAATACTTGGAAAACAGCAGGGGGCCCAACCAAAAAGAATGATCGGTTAAGAAGAAGGTGAAGGAAGCTGAGACCGATATGTGGAGAATTGGCATGATTAAGAAGTTCGCACTACAGATCTATCGAACTTTTAAGCAGCAAATTGTCAAGGAAAGGATTTATGATAATACTCGGTGTAGTTGTCTACTGTTTGAGGCCAGGACGCGAGTATTGCGAACAAAGACATATCGGGCCAAATACGAAGGGGTAGACACGGTATGTAGTGCGTGTGGAGAGGAAGAGGAAACTGCTGAACACTTGATAATGTTCTGTAAAGAGCTTCACCCTATAGTTTGGGATGATGGCGCAGAGTTTTTCAAAGCACTGGTGTTTAGGGACAGGGAGGGCAAAATAGACTTTAGGCGGGTAAAATTAACTAGAAGGAGGTTATCTGATTGGTGGCTAAAGTCAAGGCACGAGTGAAAATTAAACCCTTTACTGGAAAGTATGAGTCCTCAACCTCACTATATATTTAAAGGGAAAAATTAATCTAGCTTTTGGTCCACTAAGTATTACGGCTTGGTGGCACTAGCCACCGCCCTATCTAAAGGTTACAGCCATATCAATTCATCCATTCATCCATACGTCACCCAAGGCAGTGATGCGCTGCACAGAGACGGAAATCAACCACGCGCACGGACAATGTGAAACATTCAAAATACATTTTTTGTTTGTGCATGGTCTCAAATGGCAACCGAGACACTATGTTAATTAGCTTTTGGAAAACAGGATGCCTACGCAGGTGCGCGACTGACCCTAAATATTGTCAGGTCGACAGGATGCCGAAAGTGAGCGTGTGACGGCACTGAAACATTTTATCGATGTGAAGTGGTAGAAAAATAGAACGATGAGCTCTGTTGTGAGCCGTTGCTTGCAACACATTCCAGGACAAACCATCATTTCCAAAAGCACTAATCTGTAAATAAAG